TTGCTTTAAAGCAAGTGGTTATACAGATCTCAGTATTTGGAACAAATGGACTACTATTTAATTTTTCTTTTCCAGAATATGCATTTTAGCTGATACACGTTTCCAGTGATACAGATATATATGTAAACATACACAGAGATTAAATAGAGTTTAAATCTGTGCTAATTTTTATGAGAGTTTGCATTTATGCTGAGTTTAAGTTTGTATTGGATACAGTATTGATATTTTTTCCTTTAAGGAAAGCAAGTTACTGTTTCATAGGATGGAAATATTAATATGTGAAAATGAATACATTTGTAATAAAGATCACATTTTTCAATTCTGCAAAGCATAGTCTTTTAGCTAGAGAGATGAAAAAAGTGCAAAGGCATGAGCTCTGCTCTGCTCTTCTTTTTTCTTTTCTCTGCTTAAAATAGTAGTAATAGTTAGTCATATGCTTCTTTTCTTAGCAATTCACTGTGAATCTTGGATTTAAACAAAGTTCAGTTTTCTAGCAAGAATACGTGAACAGTATGTCTCTGATTTAGAAGAAAATCCTGCATATAATGTGCAGTCATTCTAAATGGAGACCTCAAATGTTTTGCTGGAAAGGGCATCTCTCTAGGTACCACTCTTCAATATGAAGCAAGATCTAAAGCATGTCATATGCCAGAGCAATCTTAGTATGGACAGTAATGGGCTTTTAAAACATCAGGTTTTAGTTGTGCTTTAGCGGCTCAAAAATCCCAGAAAAAGTGCAGCAGATTACAAGCCAGAGTTATAGCAAAGGGCTATGACTAGATTTGCATCTAGGCTGGTCTTTAAGCAGTAAAGCTTTCTTAAGAGCAATCCAAAATTATCCAGAACGATCTCCTAGCCTGCTCATGAGTCAGTGTTAATTCCCATTAATGTCAGCAGGATTAACATATAGGAACTGAGAGCAGATGAATTATTTTTGGCTTTTCTCTAGCAACTGTTCAGACCTCACTGTTGTCCCTGGAACTGCTTGCAGGGCTGTAGTGCCGGGCAGTCAATAGCTCAGCTAAGTGGGCACCAGAAGGCTTCACACCTCTCTAGGTCCCCTCAACGCTTTCTAGGTCTGTCAGCAACCTCCGTGCAGGCGCCTCAGCTGCTTTGGGCAGCCACGTTGCCTGTTCCCTCCAGCTTCAGCCCTTCATCATCATGCTAGCCAAGGCAAACTCTTCCAAAGTCCGTCTTCTCCAAGCTGTGGAGCCCCTTCACATGACTCCATGGATTACCTTAGTTCAAAAGCATAAAATACCTTCCCCTTCACTCTATATATCACCTGTGTCATTTGCTGGATGAGTGACCTTTTTTGTCTCCAATAAAATTCCGAAGCTTCAGATTACCAAAACAGCTGCACACACTTTGTCTGAGTTAATGCATTTGAGTCAGGCTCCAGGCTCTGGGAAAGCGCCAAGATCCTGGATCAGTTGCTTTACGAGAATTATACTGCTATAATGGAACCCTGCATTATTGTGTTGCAATTATTTTTGCTTGCAGCTGGCTGTTCCCTCTGTATTTTTACTGTAGTGAGATAAAGGGATTTTGTCTTAAAAATAGGATTTTCTTTTCTGAACCATACAGAAGCTTTGAGTTACATATCCCTGTCTATAAGAGGTGCCCCCTTATCTTCAGATTTATCTTCAAACAGAAGAGTAAATAATTTTTTTGTAAAAGGTTTTGAAGAGCAGAAGCAGAGCTAGATGTTTTCAAAGCATAAAATAAAAGTATATTTAAAATCAGGATGAAATAAGTGACTAAAGTCCCCCGTAATAATGCGGTTTTAGGTTCTCAGCAAGAAGTTTGTTTTTGGCATCAGGCTATTTACCAATAGCAAGTTGTTCTTAAAACTGCCCCTATCATTTGGAAGTCATTTGTGTAGAAAAATAATAGAATAAACACAGATTTCAAACTGAAGAATGTTTCTCTAGCCTTGAATCTCTCCTATGTTTGTAGCCATTCATGCCACTTTTGATGCCTATTTATATGTTATTTCTTGTCAAATAACAGCTCAGGTTTTCCTGTTGATAGCAAAAAGTAAACTAAATGCAATCATTTATCTTTGAACTGTTCAACTGTGCCCTTCTTCATGTTCTTGTTAATAATGCCAGGTCTCTGAGGAGTGCTCTCATGCAATTTTATCACATAAGCTTTTTGTTTGACCTTACTTGCTGTTCCCTTGAAACGTAGTGGGAGGAGAAGCCAAAATGCCAGCCTGTCTTAATTAAAATTTTAGTCTCAGAAGATGTTACAGTATGTGATTTTATTAGGTATGTAATGAAAGTATTTAATCATACCTCTTAATTGTCTGGGCTTTTTTACTTGGTAGTGAGGTCACTGAGTTTTAAAACAACTCTTCTAAGGTTTGGACAAATAAATGAATGTGAGGATATGCATTTTGAAGTGATTCATAAAACTGCTTTCATTCTACCCAAGATTCTGCTTGTTTGTCGTAAAGGTAGTTGTTTTGATGATGAGGGTGTAAATACGGTGGAAAGGTCTTCCTAAAAACAATCCCCCCCCCAGCCATATCCGTGTATTTTTTAAATCATGCTATTCCTTGTGTCCAGCACTTGGAATCTGGAACAGACAGCAAAAAAAAAAAAAAAAAAAAAAAAAAAAGTTAATTTCATCATTTCTTATTGGCATAATCTAAACATAACAAGGGGCTTTCTACCATGAAGAGGAAGCAATTTATTTTATGCTGTTACTGGAGAAAAGCCTGTGCACAAAGCACTGTTAAGCTCTTGTACAAAAGTAACTTACTCCAGTTTATATAGGACAAGCATGTCTAGAAATAGATCTGTGAGGCCCTGATCCTGCAAGTCTTTTGAATGGTGAGGGCTTGCTTAGCTATTGGGGTTGTGTTATCCTCTTGTTTTTCCCTTTCGTTAGCAGTAGAGTCCCCTGTTTTCTCTAGAGCAGCATGTGAAACCATTCCTCGAATGCTCTGTGCTTCAGCCTCTTCCAGTCTCTGAGATGGTGAAACAGGTGAAAACTGGATTTTACACAGCTGTTTGAGGAGGACTAAAACCAATGGGGCATTTCAGCTAGATCTTGTGCAAACAACTGGGCCTAACTAGACGTAGTGGGGATCTCAGAGTGGTTACCAACAAAACATTTTGTTTTGTATCTTGCTTTTTCAGCACCAGTTTTTACCAAATTTAACAAATTAGTTGCTTTCAAGTAATGCAAAATTTCAGCCTGTTTCAAAATTTGATTATTCCTTCTTCTGACGCCGGGAGAGTTTTAATACCATCTTTTGTGCTATTGATTTTGTGGCATAAAGAGTTCTGTAAGCCAGAGAAAAAGGGGCGGGGGGAAGTGGACAAGATTTCTTCTAATCAATATATTTATTCATTTCCTTGTAATAATAAATCTTACCAGCTTGTATCTCTCTAATGCAAAATCTTGCTGAGTTCCCCAGTGCAGGTGGATGCAGTTATTTCTCTGTGGGTTATTTCTCTGTGGGTCTGTTACCAGATTCAGGAGACATAAATGTGCCCTTAGCAAGCTAAGGGTAATTTAAGGAAGCAGGGAACTAAGATTCTGGCAGTAAATGGGTATTGAAAATCCAAATTTTAAATCCTGCTGTCTTATAACCGCAGCTTCGTGGAGAACTGTTCAAGTCTCTGTCGTTGTAATCAGTTTAGGAATATTTACAGTGTCTTGTGTTTTCAGTGACTGTAACTGGAGTGCTGTTAGCTAAAAAAAAGTTTTGATCTCACACATCGTGGAAGAATTGCTGTCATTAGTTTAAGTTTTGAAAACAAAAGAGCATCCCCCACCTGCTGACTATACTGCTGGGGAGGGATTTGCTTTTAGACTGAATGGTACCTTTAATGAACGAGGTCTAACTTTAAGTCACTTACTTGAAAAGGCTTCTGATGGTACTGAGATTCGGTGCCTGTGGACTACAGAGGGTGGTATGGAGGCAGGAGTCTGCATGCTGCTCTATTTATTGGGTCATGTGCTATTTTCTGCGTTGTGAGTCATATTGTACCTCTCAGTTGTCTAGTGCTTGTTCAGACCCCTATACTGGTTGCATAGATGTTCTTGGGTTTTTTTTTTTGAGCGTGTGGATGCAAACTTGATAAAACAATCGCATGTTGGTATGTTTTGAGGGGAAGTGGACAGATTTCTAGCATTAAACTATTATGTATTTGTCCCTCCAGCTCACATGATACCCAGTTTACATCCATAAATTATCCATGGTATCTTCAAGTTGAGCATAAAGACAAATATCTTAGTAGATCAAGACATTTTTAAGTGCATTGCCGAGAGAAAGCAGACACAGTAGGAGTTGATTGATCAACTGCGGTAGGTTTGGTTTACAGCATGTCTTGGGTTTTAGATCTAAGTGTAAACTACAATTTTTTTTACAAAGTGTTTTGGATTCCAGCTGCACAAAATGCAGCTTAAGCCTTCAGACTCATACTGAAAATGACACACTAGCAGGGAGACATTAATGAGCGTGTCTGCTGTGGGAGTCTTCCAAACTGCAGACATTTAGGAGTGAGGCTGAAGTCAAAATCAGCTTAATTTTATAGCTGTGTTTTATATGAGACTTTGAGTCTATCATTTGTGGTGAATCTGGCCAACTAAAGATGATGTTCCTGTAGGAGGTGGAACATCTGGTTGCAATTCCAATCAGAAATACTGCTTTATCTCATACAAGATGGAAGAGCTTCAGCAGCAGGGACTGGCAGACCCCTGGCGTACAGAGGAGCTTGTTCTGACTGGTAGAGATTGCTTCCCTCAAATGCCTGTTCTCAGTTTCGTTGGGAAGGGATTTCAGTATGGGCCTCCCACAGCTTGGCTGACTGTCCAAAAAACAAGTCAGTGGAGAGCAGAGCCCATCTCCCCAACTTTACTTTCTTTACTGTTTTATGGATAGCATTTAAGCGTTGTTTGAGAATCAGAAAGTTTTTTTTTTTGTCAAGACAAAGTGTTTGATCTTTCCAAATTGCTTGCTTCATTTTTTTTCTTCCTTCCAGTTTTGCCAGTACTTTCGGATGGACCAACTCAGAGCTTTTGGCAAATAAGTGAGTTGCCAAAAACTTCACCAAATTTATTGATGATATGTGCATCACTAAACTGTAGCTTTACAATGACATTTTGTCTTCTCTAATTAGTAACTTACACCATGAATTATGAGTTTCAGAATCACAGAACGGTTGAGGTTGGAAGGGACCTCTAGAGCTCATCTAGTCCAACCCCCCTGCTCCAGCAGGGACACCTAGAGCATGTGGCACAGAGTGGCATCCAGGTGGGTTTGGAAGATCTCCAGAGAAGGAGACTCCACAACTTCTCTGGGCAGCCTGTTCCAGGGCTCTGTCACACTCACAGGAAAGAAGTTCTTCCTCACATGGAGATGGAACTTCCTGTGTTTCAACTTATACCCGTTACCCCTTGTCCTGTCACCGGCCACCACAGAGAAGAGCCTGGCCCCATCCTCCCTACAATCACCCTTCAGATACTTGAACATGTTGATCAAATCTCCTCTCAGCCTTATCTTCTCCAGGCTAAACAGGCCCAGCTCGCTTAGTCTTTCCTCATACGATAGGTACTCCAGTCCCTTAATCATCTTTGTGGCTCTACGCTGGACCCTCTCTAGAAGCTCCACATCCCTCTTGTACTGGGGAGCCCAGAACTGCCCCCAATACTCCAGATGTGGCCTCACCAGAGCTGAGCAGAGGGGCAGGATCCCCTCCCTCAACCTGCTGGCAACGCTCCTCCTGATGCAGCCAGGATCCCATTGGCCTTCTTGGTCACGAGGGCACATTGCTGCCTCATGGCTAACTTGTTGTCAACCAGGACTCCCAAATCCCTCTCCGTGGAGCTGAGTTTCTGGGATAACAGAGCAAAGAGCATATCCAGTCACTTTCATACCTTACCCATACTTCATTTTAGAAAGTAAAGGAAAAAACAATCTTGACCAAATTGTGGGAAATGATACTGATCAGATTCTTCAACCTGCCAAATCTACTGAACAGTCCTTGAGTAGAACAAGGTGAACTCGAATAGGCCAGAAATAGCTCACAGATAACCACCGTGCATGAGTGAGTTCTCTGCTTGTGGAGTAAAGCCTGTCCCAATGCCAGTGTGTGATCCAGGGAAGGCGAGACAGAGCAGAGGAGCCTGGGATGCACACACAAAGGTTAATCCTTTTAATTGAAGAATAGAAAAAATATTAAGAGCTAACTGGTTATAACATTTTCATAAACATTTCAAGTCCGAAAAGGATGATTTTGATCATCTAATTTAATGCTCTGAATACTACTGGACATATAGTATATTCCAATCATATCTTTATTCACAGAATGTCTTAATAAATTAGTGAATATCTTTAGCAAGTTAGCCATTTTTGTTTTAAAGATTTCAAGTGATAGCAAATATGCTTCCTCTCTAGACAAATTGCCCCGTTAATTACAGGCCTTGTTAAAGCTTCATGCCTTTTTTCTAATCTCAACATTTCTAAGTTTATCTCCCAACCATGTAATTTTATTGCACCTTTTTACACTCTGTTCAAGAGCTGTCTTCCAGCAAATATCTCTTTTCCTTTTGAATAAATAAAGCAGAGTTAGCTCGTTAGGTCTCTCAAAAAGAGATACACTTTCTGGTGTCATTTTGTAGCTCTCTCTTCTACACCCTTCCAGTTTTACCGGAGTCTTTTGTAAACATGAATGAATTCTCCTCTGCTAGGAGTGACCATTTTCACTCACTCCTATTCACCCTTTTCTGACATTGCTGGTGGTGCTTGCAGCGGGGTGCTGAGCCATTCCCCACCAGGGATGAGCCAGCACCACAGGGAGGAGCGTAGGTCCTTCAGGACCAGCTGGATCCCTTGCTGCGGATGGGGATGCCGCGCTGGCCAGGCCTGTGCAGCGTTGCACCAGCCCATCTTGCCCCAGTGAGGTTTCCCCTTCAGATCCCTCCTGGGCTTGCCTTGTCTTGGCTGTTGCGGCACATTACTGAAATAATACCTGCGCTTTGGTCCTCTCCCAGGTTTGCGGCTGCACTGAAGATTTGTCACAGCGCTAAACTGAGTGCTGCCAGAAGGGCACAGCGGAGCCTTCAAATCATTTCACACCAGAACTGCTCTGAATTTGTGCAGTTACATTGAATAGGGTTACATGAAAAAGGCCCTTAAAGGTCAACTGGTGAGAGTACAGCAAGATTTCCAGTCTAGGGGACACCTGCCAAGCAAAATTTTCTTTATCCAAAGTTCTGATTATTCTTTAGCCAGAGTGCTGATGCAGATATTACAAAGCTGTCTTGCTACCGTATATCTCAAATTTAAGATCAGAAATGAAATGGCCCCTCCAAACTCGGATGTGCAGTTCATGAAGGGTGTATGCTGAGGCCAGCAGAGCACCAAACAGGCTTTAGTTAGAGCTGTGGGTGACGTTCCTGGCAGAAGTGGGAGACCATTGCATTTTATCTTTTAAGCTCCATAGCCTCATTAAGAAATTTAAACATTTATGGGTCTTTCATGTAGTCTTTCTCCCTCAGGGATGTTTAAGTTAGCTGACTGTCAGCATGGCAATACAGGCTATAAAGGTTCAGAGAATTACCTTGATAATACAACGGCCTCTTCCATTTAGCCTGCAATGCAAGGCTCATTTTTCCTCTGAGGCATTCATTGAAATTCTGTGCACGATATGTTCCTCTGGTTGTTTAACAATGTCTCTTATGTTTGCCCTGATTTAAAAAATCCTCCTTTGTAGCAGAGATAACATAGAGCAGGATGATATAATTGCAGTAAAGAGGCCCTGGAGCTTGCAGTAATAGGACGGTTCATCTGATGTGTACTGCCATTAGAACATAACCCACGTATGTATGTTCTCAGGGGGCAGTAAAGAGGCTTTTAAGGATTACACTTTATGTAGTATGAAAGCTAATGAGCAAAAGGGCAAGTACAAAGAAAATTATTTCTGCAGAAAGCATGGTGCAACTTCCTGTTTCCACAGATTTCCTGATACCTGGGTGGCTCCAAAATACCCGTCGCTGTCCAGTGATGCATGGCTTTTCATGCATTGCACAGTTCCCAGGCCTCCTCAGAACACTGTTATTTTCATTTCATCGAAAAAATAAATAGCATGCCAACAGCATGGCAAAGCTGAATTCAGGATTGAAACTGCTGTGTGTGTACAAAGTAAATAGCTTTGGAGGAGTAGCAATCTCTTGATAGCCTGTCTTCTTTTAAATAAATAAATAAATAAAACTATATAGTTAAAGTATATAGTAAAGATAACTAGAATGATACAGTGCCATGAGCTTTGCTGAAAGATTGATATATTAAGGCTCTCAGTTACATAGAATTTCAGTTCTCTCTCCATTCTTTTTCTGTCCAGTGTGCAAAACTGTATGAGGACATCAACACACAGTAAATAAAGATCTCTTTCAAATGTTATGTGGAACATAAAGTTAGAGTTGCACACTTTGGCTTGCTAAAATAGAAAATTCAGACCAGTTTCTGATATTAACAACCTCTTGTACAAATGGATGGCCTCATAGTGTGCCATTCTTTCCCCCTGCTTTTGTGCTAAAGCAGCAGCCCACTAGAATAACAGAGATAAGCTTTATTTCTTTTTCCACAGCATTTTCCTCTTGCTTACAGATCCTATTGTGGATAAAGGAATTCATATTTTTAATACTCCATAGCCCCTCTGCTCAATTGAAGTATATTTGTGTACCTTGGGGGTACGCAAATCAGGGTGGGGGGGGGAGGATTTTGCCTCTTTCTGCATATATTTAACATGCTAAGGGGTCCAACTTTGCCATCAGGTAAGGAGAAGTGGCTTCCTTTGAGTTAGAGCCCTTCTAAAGGGAAGCTTGGTTTTGAACTTGAACGTCAGTGCTCTGCTTGTATTCTGTGGTAGGAGGGACATCCGTTACAGTCCAAAGGATGCTACTCATAAGAAAGACCAGGAATGGGAGACAGAGACTGCCAGCATCTCTGCAAGGAGATCACAGGAGTCTTTTTAAGCATCCCAATTTCCACAGTCAAGTCAAAGGAGCTAGTGGTCAAGACACCACAGTACCATCCTCTAGGCCAGAAAAATGACTTAGTTTCCCTTAAAGGAAGAGAAGATTCAGGAGGCCATGAGATGATGTTTATCTATTATATATCTTTGTTCTCATCTAATAATATTAGATGTTTGTTAGCATGTCTGAAGTGCTTTTCTGCTCGTACTGAAGCTCTTCTGTGAGATCCTTCAGGGCATTGTAAAGAACTCACAGAGAAAGCAGAAAAAGAGGTTTGCTTTCATCTCCTAGTGGGTAGCAGGACTGTGCATGTTGGGATAGGAGTGAAGAGATTCATGTATATCATGGACAGGAGAAATTGTGTAAGTCCTTGAAGAGCAATAAGATCATTAAAACAATAGCACATAGTTCAGTGGACCTGAGCTCTTAACTCTTCCACTTTTCTGCAATCCTTCAGCCAAAATGTAGAGGGGTTGTACTGTGTACTAAGCAGTATATATTTGGTAATATAGAGGAACATTTCATTAATTAGTTTTGGCAGATCAGGGGCTACATGTTATCGTAAAGCCCAGTGAGATGGTGCCTCTATGTTCAGCATAAGCACAGGTCCCCAGACATTTTTAATTTCAGCTTGTATTGCATGTCTGTAGCAGGCAACAAATTCATCATATTGGTGAATATGCAGCACACAGCTGAGGTGAAGAAACACCTGTGTGTTCAAACATACAGCAGAGTATGAGCAATAGTCTGGTTAAAACAATGGTCATGCAGTTAAATTTATGAGAGATGAGAGAAGGGCTTCCCTCCTCTTGACCCCCGTGGAATGAACTGTCTGTTGTTGCTTCCAGTTTTATTTGACTCCGCTCTGCTTAGACTTTCAGTCTTGCAAATGCCAGAATAGGTCCTTTCTCCCTCTTCTTTCCCCCTCCCCTATAATTGGTATACAGAGAGGACTGAAAATTTTATTATTGCTGTTATTACCTCCTGTAAACTCAGTTACAGCACTTTTGATGTTGGTAATTTTTGTGACTAAAAATATGCTGACAGTGTGTTTGTGCTTAGGAAAAGAACATATTTGAATGTATAATAATCTGGTGCATTTGGGAGATGTTTGATGCTACATCCTAGGCAAGTTAATAACTCATGGAATTATTTTTTTAATTTGGTTCAGTTGACAGGAGACAGTAATCTCATAGCTGTGGAAAAGGCGTCTTTAATACCAAAAAATTGATCTGAGCCTACATTTCTCTTACATCAGAAAAGAATTTAAGGGAAAGTTATCAGTTCACGGTAGACTGGCAAAAACAGAGACATTGCTTACTTCATTTTTTTTACATAATGAAGAAATACCCAGGTGGTGATTCCAGTTTGTGGAGTATATTGAACCATATACTTGTATTTATGAATATGAATTGAGAAGACATGACACACAGTGTTGTTCCATCTGATAATTCTTCTTTGCCTGAAATATGCTTATTCTGAGAACATCATTACAGAGCTAATAATGCAGTGCATAACTGAATGTTTAAAAAAAAAAAGGAACGCTAGAGGACAAGGAATGTCTTAAGGAGAAAATATTCATAGATTTATAATGACTGTGGCTGCCTGCATTTTTCAAGGACAGACAGGATCTTTCTGTTCTTTCTTTCCTATCCCACTTTTTCTGCAAAGTCCTTCACTTTTAATTATTAGCTTCACCCAGCCAGCCCCTTTCTGTCCAGCAAGGCTCTTTCTCAGGCTGGATTATATTGCTGTCAAACAGCATGCTGCTCACATTTTATTTCCCTTCCATGCTTCTGCTTCCTTAGCAGCTTTGCACTCCAGATCATCCAAACTTCGCCCATTTCTCACTACAGGACTACAGGAGCAGTCCCAGCAGAAAACTTGCAGTGTTGTGGTGACTTTGAATGCAGACCTGATAGTTGGCTGAAACAGAAACACGAATTTTCCCTCTCTGCTTTATTGGCAGACCAGATACTCCCTAGGTTATGATTTTCCTCTTTTCTCAATCAGCAAACAAGTAGGACAGAACGTGACCCTTAACACGCTGTAATCATAACCTTACAAGGAAGAGCCAAAGTGTATACATGTGTTTTTCTTGAGTAAATAAAACATGCTGTGCATATACCTGGCTAGAGAGCTGCATCATAAGGTAAGAGAGAAATGCTCTCTAAAGTATTATTTTGAAGCCAAGCAAGTAAACTGACAGATTAGGTCGTAAAGGCTAGATATTGCTGTAATTGAAGCTGGTGGGAGTTTTGCCTCTGAGGCAATAGCCAGAAGTCACTAGCACACTCAATCTATTCAGGGCTGTATGTCATTTACCACAGTCAAGTGTCCCTCAAGGTTGACTCTAGCATGGAGCAGAACTGCCAACTCATGACATGTTTGATTTTTTTTTGATGTTTATTTCTAGGAATGCTTCTCTAGAACTAGAATGGATTTTTAACTAATGCAGCTTGCTTGCTGTTAGTTTAGAACAGTTTTAATTTTGGCCCTCTAAATCGCAGCTTATTTCCAATGACTTTCTTCTTCCAGGTTACCAGCCTGTCTTGCCTAATCAGCAGCAGGGGTTCCAGGGTCTCATGGGAATGCAGCAGCCTCCCCAAAGCCAGAGCCTGATGAACAATCAACAGGGAAATCAGGTGCAAGGCATGATGGTGCAGTATCCAGCCATGTCGTCTTATCAGGTACGTGGAAGTGGTGCTTTTCTCAGAAAATGTCTAATTAAATTAAGTTCTCATATCACAGAATGGTCTTTGCTACTTCCTGATGACAATACACAGTAGGAGGCCTCCTCATAAGTACCCTTATAAGTCAAATGGGTTCGTCTGCTTCCTGTTTGCATATTCTTAGTGTTCCCAATTTTGAATCTGAATAGGGAATACATTACATGAACTATTTATTAATGCCCGCAGTGTGAGTAAAACTCTGCAAGGCATGAAGAAATTATACTTCCCCCTGTGAAGTAAAAAAAAAAAAATGAGAGGCAGGATATTATTCATTTCTTTGTTATTGCAGTATTTTTCTCTGTAATGAAGCTGAGAGCTTTGCCTGATTCAGTTATACATTTCTTGACCATGCAGACTCTTGCCAGTGTCTTAAGAGAGAAGGGCTGACCATGTGCACTAAAAACAAACTGTAGTCAGACAGATTTATGCTTATTGAATTTCGAGGAGAGGGAAGGAGATAACTTGATTTTTACCAAATCATAAGTCAGCTAGATTTCTTTATCTTACTGACTTTATACTAGGCTCCTGTGAGATATGACAAGAACCTGCGAGGTGGCCTATGCATATGTTTCTAGTGATCCCACTGGAAAGCTAAGAAACTAAATGACTTCTAATTCATTTTAATAGAATGCACTGATTGAGCAGCCTGTCATCATTTCCCCTGACTTCTCTAAAAACACTGTAGCAACCCTGATGGGAATGGGGGGAATTGCTTGTGGGTAAAATTAGCCCCTTGAGTTTTCAAAATTACTATGCTGAAAATGTGTTTTAAAGGTTAATGATCAGGCTAAAGACTTAGACCTTTTAAATGGCCTAGATGTACCAGGGATGAGTCTTCTGTCTGCACTGATCCTGGAAATTCACATTCTGCTAGATCATGACAGAGCTGCTTAATAGACCCAGGAGTGCAGTGATTTCTCCTTAACCCATCTGTTACTGAAAGTTTATGCTGTGGATGAGAAGAGTTCTGAGTAGCAGAAAGTGACACATCTTGGCAGAACATGTCTGTTGTGGCAGAGCATGTCTTAAGTGCAGGCAGTAGAAAAAATCAGTTTCTTTACTATTTTTTTTCATGTTTCTGTATCTTGTCCAGGTGCCAATGACCCAGGGTTCTCAAGGATTGCCACAACAATCATATCAACAACCAATCATGCTACCTAATCAATCAGGTCAAGGAACACTTACAGCCACTGGAATGCCTGTTTACTGTAATGTCATACCTCCTGCCCCACAGAACAACCTACGGTTGCTTGCCCCACACTGCCCCTCCAATAACGTTCCAGTTATTTCTGCCAGCTGCAGGACAAACTGTGCAAGCATTAACAATGCAGGGTGGCAGGTCAAGTATTGACACTGTGGCTTAGTGTGGATATACAGAGGATAGCGGTGCATTATCTGACAAATAACTCATGGCCTTCAAAGGAAGTGGAACACAACAGGATAAACAGTTGAGGACATAAGTACTGACTATGCTCAAGTGATTTGCTGCTGGAAAAACCTGTAAAAAATAAAGTTAATTTTGAAAAAATGTTTGCTGGTTAATGGTGCATATTTTTGTCATGTCTGCTAGGTATGCCTTTATAGCTTAGCTAGTGACATGAATTCATTGAGGTAAGATTTTTTCCTACCACTGAACACCACTGTGTAGATTGTAATATCCCTGATTCGGATTAGTTTTGTACTTTGTGTTGAGTTTGTGAAGCTAAAAGTATTTAAAAATATAATAAATTCACATTGTACCAAAGCTGTAATGGAAATTAAAAAACAGAAACAAAAAAAAGAATTACTGAATGGAAGGAATAATTTATATACACTATAGAGTTTTTTTATGGATATATACTGTATTGTAGTGTTTAATCACAATAAAGCTATTTGACCTCATGGAGAAAGGTCATGTTTCTACCACCTGCTTGGTCTCCTCTCTTGTTTTTCAGTGAATTTCCCATTGGTTATGCAATGTCTTGTTTCAGGTCAAGCTAAGGGGTAAGTTAAACCCTTATGGGTTTGTAGGAGTTTAGTGAAGACATACTGGAGCCTTGGCATGGCCAAGACAGCTAAGGCCACATTAAAGTAGATAGTCTGAAAGAGCTTAGTGATTTCAAACCAAGTTTCTGCTTTTCTGGTATCTCGGTCCACTAAGGTTCCCAATGCAATTGACCACAGCTAAAACCCTCTACTGACTAAAACCTGTTGAAGAGGTTGTGCTACAGCTGAATATAACACACATATAGCTGTCTAGTGACAGCACAGCCTCTTGCTGCAACATCAGGATTGGTGCAGTAGCCACAATACGCAGCAATGCTCTTGATCTGTGCAGATCACTCTACCTAATTATTGCCACTCCAGCTGTGAAACCCTTTCACAATGCAAGGATAACAGTCCAAAAATCTGGTCCATCGCAGTAAAGTAACAGGGAGTTATATTTGCATTTTTGCTTCCTAAACCATCCAGAAAGTGGTTTGGCTGAAAGTTTTAGAATCTCTTTTAATTTCCTGTGGCATTTTTCATTTTTTTTGCTTCCATGTTCACTCAAATTCCCTGCTTGTTTTGATAAATTATTCTTCATTCATAAATGCTGCATAAAGTTCAACATTCTGCTTCAGTGATGACAGGGTTTAAGTGGTAAGTATGTTTACCAGAAAAAAAAAGCATGTGTCATTTCATTCACTTAAGCTATTCTTACAGTTGGTCTTGAGCAACTTTAAAACAAGCAGAACTTGAGGACCTGAGAAATATGCATAGGGATCATATAAAGTCTGAGATGTTTCCAATGTGTATAGATCTATATGAGGCATAGCATGATTTTAAGTACACTCAAGAGGAAAGTAGCCTGCAAGGTCTTTTAATGTCCTTGACCATTTTGCTAGTCTCAATAGGAAACAGCCTTTTTTTCCCCTTTTAAGATGAGTGGTAACTCCTTTGCATTCTTCAGCTGTGGAAGCAGGAATTGGAGGAACTACCATCAGTATTTAAAAATACGTGTTTTTTTTTTCTCTTTTGTACAAAAAGGTTATTTTTCATGGTTCAGTCTTTCTTGCATTTGCTTCTTAAGGTGTGGTATTTCTACTGATTCCGGTCCTATGGGATCATGAGAAAGCCAAACACTGAATCTTATGTAGTGTAATCACGATCCATTTGCTGAGAGACAGTCAAGAACAGGAGCAGGTAAGTAAACATAACTCACTCTTCAATTAGAGGTGAAATGCCTAGGGAGTGCATACTGATTGATTTTTTTTTCCTCTCTCTTTTTAAATCAAGATACAGCATTTGAATTTTCCTGTGACCCTGAACTCTCATTTTAGACAGCCTGCACTGTATGTGGCCTATTACTTGCTTTTTAAAATGTGTATACTATGGAGATTCCTGGCATTGCTATAATTATACATAAATGGGTTTTTTTCTTCTGCCGAGTGACTGACTGTTGACTGAATGACTACCCTTCCTTCAAGGTCCAGCAGGCAGGTCCCTGGTGACCTTGAGCAGGACAAGTCCTGTCCCGGTTGAACTAGCAGGGGGTCTTCTGTGGGCATGGGGTATCAAAAGAAAAGGGAGCCTCCAGTATTCACTCTTTTTGAATCCCGTTTCTTTTCTTTACTGAAGTACTACAATTGCTTTATTGATCTGCCATCTCCTCTGAGAAGTATGAATGAAATGTCTGATAAAAAGCAGTCCCTCAGCACACAAGGCTGTAGATGCTCTCAGTAGCAGTGGGGGGAGATCACTGGGGATCTCCCAGTGGGGAAAGGGATCAAAAAGCAAAACTGAGGAATCCTGATTCTTGAAATATATATTTTCCTCACACCCTTATTCTACTCTGCTCTCATGTATCATTGGAAATAGGATATGCCATGATTGACCGTGGCTGAGAATTCCCGTGATTTATTTGTTTATCTCCATTCATTCGATGACCAGATCATGTAACTGTGGGATCACAGATCATGCTGACTGGCTTCCTCACCCCTGTGCTAGGGAGCATCCACCTACCGATTTAATGACCCTCTTTCTGTTGAAATGAGCTTTTCACTCTTTATTCAAAACTGAGCATTTTTAGGAGTAGATCCCAGACGCCCACCCCAAAATGGCCTACACCCAGTGACTGCCTCACTCTCCAAAGAGTTTGAATCTCCTTAGGCACAGGAGGAAACTGAACTGGATCCCCCTCAGCTATGGTGAATGCCCTAATTATTAAGGCAGCAAATACATGGGGGAGACATCTCATGTGTATTGGTGGTGCATATAGTTGCTTTGTTCTAGAAGACTATATATGAAGACAATTAATTCCGTACCAAGCTAAGTATAAAAAATAATCTCTCCTAATTTTATTTTTTCACCATACAATTTTGTTTAGGTTTCCCTCCTAAATTTTTCATTCATTATTAGAAATCATCTGAGCAGGCTTTCCCAGCAGCCTTCTATTACTAAAATGGAAAATTTCCAGTATTGAGGCATTGTCAGATGGCAAGAAGGAGGCAAATAGAAGTTCCCTGCAAATTAATTTAAACAAAATGGTTGGTGAAGCTCAAAGGTTTTTCCTAGTCCTTTAAAATCTTTTGTATGCATTCTCCATAAGAGGATTGCTGCTTGACTCACCTGGCTGGACAATAGTTCAGGCAGCTCAGCAATTTGTCACTGTGAATTCAGACTTAAGTTTGTAGATTTTGAAATGACCTTTAGGTCATGATCTTCTCCTGTAGAGTTGCTCTGTCACGGGAGCTTTGCTTTTCTACAGTCTTCTCTGTAAATTCAGCAGACTTGGGCAGCTACATTGTGTAGCAGCCCTGTTGTGACTTTAGGGGCTGTTCATGTCATCTTATTATTTATACTGCATTCAGAAACTGGAGAGGCGTATTCTGAACTAAGCTGACTGCATCAGATGACACTGATTAGCCTTTTGGGTGGGTCTAATCCATTTGGACTCTGCATCCTAACAAAAGCCAGATGCTATTTGCTATTGTTCACCCCTTTATACTGCCTGAGAAGCCTCCCTTCTAAAATTCTAATCCCGTGTGTTTCTGTTTAGCTCTGTGACCAGCTTCCTGTATTGAAGGAAAGCAGTACAAGTTATCCCAGCAGGAAGCAATAGAGATGCATGGGGAGGAGGCCATGGTATGCTAGGAGCATCTCATTCCGTTGTTTGCTGCTCTGTCACAAGGTTAACCCGTCCGAGCACCACCAATCACCAAAAGCTCAAAAGCTCAAATTCTTCCATCAGCATTCCTGAAAGTGAAGCAAAATAACCAAAGGGGTTCCTTAACACCCAGGGAAAAGCCTCTGGGAGTGGGCCAGGCAGGCCTGGGTGCTTTGACCTGCCATCAACTGGGGTGACTCTTTTATCTGGCAACAAAGGAGGAGACCAGTTTCATTTGCCTGCAGCACAGAGACCACACTTTATAAAAGCTCCCAGCTGTGAAACCTGGTTAGATCACGTTGACTTAAAAACATTTATAGAGCAGGACGCCACCATGCAGTCATAGATGGTAGGTGGCCAGGTAAGGGCGGACATTGAGCTAGCTCTGAGTAGTTCTTCACAGCAATCCTGCAAAGCCTCTAATGCTGCTCAAAGCTGCATGGTGGGCAACAGAAAAGCCCACAGTGTTTTGAAGGGGGAAAAAGTATGCATCATCAGGGCCACTGTAATACAGAGGACACAGCAATGGAGGGGGAAGCCCACTCCTCCCTAGCCCAGGAAAAAGATCTCCATTTCTAATTGAATTTTTGCCCCTGGTTTGATTTAAAAAAAAAAAAAAGTCTCCCTTCCCTTTCTTTCTCCTGAAAAGTTTGTACAATGTCTGTGGCAGTGGACAGACATTATACAGACATTAACATAAATAGTTACTTTCACACAGTGTTGCTGGGGATGGGTGGTCCAGCATTCAGTAGACAGCGTGTATGTTGTGCAGGAGAATGGTAGTGCCTCCAGAGTTTGGCTTTTGGTAGAATCATGCTAAAAATACTGCATTCCAGTAGATGATAGTGGGAAAAATCAACCCTCCTCCCATCCAACCTGTTTTTACAATATCCTACCTATTATGAAAGGGGATGACTTCATCACCTCTTCCGCTATAATGATGGGGAATATGGAAAAGGAAACTTATTAAAGTAGGAATTTCAAAATAAAAAGAAAAAAGAAAGAAGAGCCTTTTTTTACCCTCTCCATAGAGTGTATAGACTTGCAGCATTTCTTTACTACAGGACATTGGGAATGGCTTCAAAACTGAGCAACCACGGTCATAGAAGAAAACTGTACTGAAGGCTGCTATACACAGAGAGCCTGCACCTGGCTCACAGAGGTGCTGAGCCAAATCTCCGTGGGGACCAGAGAGGATCCTGGAGAAGCACTGCCATATGCTTCCTCTCACCTTAAACCCTTCCCTAGGCACGGTTAAAGATGGGCATTGGATCAGGATAAACCTCTGATCTGATCCGATGTGGTGGTTCTGCTGTAAAGCAATATTAATTACCCAAAGATTAATAAACAGATTAATAAACATTGGTGTCATCTGACAGAGATGTATTGCCAGATGTATTGTCATATAATAATAAAACCTGCAAAAAGCAGGAGGAGGAGGAGGAGAGCCTAACCTTGGGTTAATTTCATGATTTTGTAATGTCAATGCCCCCAACTGCCTCAGTAACTATTGGCCTGACGTAGCTTGTTGTTCTGCTGAGTAGGGTGTAAAATCACAAGGATGATGTGACAGCCCTTCCCGAGGGAAGTGCTTGTTCACTCATCTTGCTTTTTCATCTTCTTTCATCTCTTCTTTGTAGCATATAATTGTGCATTGTAAAGGTTAATTATGCACAAACTTTTTTTTTTTTTTTTTTTTTGCGGTAAGGGTTATTCCCTTTAGTTGATAATAACGGATGTTTTTTTCAGGCGACTTTTCTATATGTAAGCTATTATT